GGGCGGGGCTGGGAGGGCAGGAGGAGGGAGTACCTGGCGGGATTGGGGGCCAGGAGAGGAAGAGAAACAGGGGTGAAGGCAGAGAGAAGGGAAGGGGGAAGGTCTGCTAGCCCAGGGAGGGGGACGGGAGGGAAGGGGGAAGATGGGGGCAGGCAGGGTTAGGGTTCGGCTCAGAGGCCCTGTTCCCCAACAGGCCTCCTGCTTGCCTCCTGTGGGCTGCACCTGGCCTCGCTTGATCTTCTGGGGGGTGGTTACTCCTAGAGCCCTCCCCCCACAACCTTCCCATCTGTTGTGCGTTTGGCCCCCACAGCCAGCTCTCCCCAGCCCCCGGCCAGGTCAGCCTCCCCAGGAGATGAGAAGGGAGCCCGGAGCCCAGGCAGCAGGCGTGGGCGAGGAGGGGCTGCCGTGAGTGCTGGTGGGTCAAGGGTATAGCTGGTTCTGTGACAGGCAAGCTGTCAGCTGCCCCTTTTCCCGTAAAGAATGTTCTGTACAGACTCCGGTCATGTCTTTTGAAGAATTAAAAGGTTAAAGGAGAGAGGAAGCAGTGTGTCAGGGAGCCTTGGGCACAGAGCCCTGCCCTGCCCCCAGGAGGAGGGAGCCCTGGGCTCTAGGGGGACGGACCCCACACTGGGAGCGGGTTCTTGGGGACTAACTGCCTGAGGGTCGCTGCTCCTGGCTGTGCCCTTCCCTCACTGAGCCTCGGTTTCCCCGCCTGTATGAAGGGCATCACAGCTGCTGCTTTAGAATGCGTTCAGGTTCGCAGTGGATGCGGGCGCTGGCCACAGTGACGGGTCGGTGGGGGTGGGTGCTGAGCGGCACCGTGAGGGGACTGGATGGCTGTCCTGAGGTGAGAGGTGAAGACAGCACCCGCTTTTACAAAGCAGGTCCCCTGCTTCTCCTGCCCCAGTGCTCACCTGCCGACAGCACCCCTCCTGGAGCGGGGGCCCCCCAGCCTGTTTTGCTGCCAGCGACCCAGCACCTCGTCTTCGCCACACCTGCTGGCAGGTGACCTCGTCTGGGCTCGCTTCCCTTGGCTCGGTCACTCTCATCCCTGTTGAGGCCCCTGATGGCGGAGGTGTGTGAGTGAAGGAGGCGGGAAAACAGGTCGGGAGGTCAGCCAGGTGCCCGGTGGCCACCAGGTGGGGCCTCCTCGTGGCCGGAGTAGAGGGAAGGTGTAAAGAAGGTGGGCGTGGAGGTGTGACAAGGTAGGGCTCCGGGTGACCTGTCCCCTGTTCTACTAGCGATTTGCCCCTTGGCCAAACTGTCCTGCCTCCCCTGGCCCTTGTGCCCCCACCCGGCCTGTCTCTCAGCCCCTCTGTCCCACCCTTACCTCAGTGGGGACACCTGCCTTCCCCCATCCCTGCTCCCCGGCCAGCTGAGGTCTTGCTCTCTGGAAAAGCCACATCTGCCTGGCCCATGGGCAGACCTTTGGCCTCCTGAACCCCTGCGCTGGGCTGACCTGGGCCCCTTTTCCTCCACCAACTGTGCCCATCCTGAAGGAGATGACAGCTGAGGGCTCCATCGCAGGGGCCCTTGGAGACTGGGGTGCTATTGGCAATGGCACCTTGGGAGGGGTCGCTGCTGTCTCCTGGGAGGATGGATGTCCCATGTGTCATATGTTCTGCATGTTTAAGACATTAAATTGAGGCTGGGAGCCAAAATGATTATGCGTCTCCTGGGAAGATGTGCTTTGTGCAGTGCACGTGCCCCTACTGTGCCCGTGGGCATGTTAAACATGCTCAGTGCAGTTTAAATATTGACTCTACAAAAATGCACTTTATTGTTTCGTATTTACTGGTCTTCTAACTGCTTCCAGTGCCTTTGTAAACAGACTGGCACGAGCATATGCCCAAATACAACAGATGGTCTGTTAGAGGACAGAAAACCTCCCTGGTTGCTGGGACCCAGCCCAGGCCCCCGGGCACAGCCACCCAACCTGGCAGGAAGCACCAGACACGGGCCGCACAGAAACAAACTTGCCCCTGGTTCCAAACCTACCCCTGGTTCACGTCCAACTAGGAGACAGTCCCCAGGTTTAGAGGGACTAGAGATGTCCAAGGTCACAGGGAGGATGACCAGGGTCAGGCAGAGATGACCAGGGCCACATGGGGTTGTTCAGGGTCAAAGTGGGCACTGTTTTTAGAGGACTTGCAGCCATTCCTGTATGACCGTCGCAGGGGAGAGCCGGCCCTCTCTCTGGCTGGCAGAGGGTGTTGTGCAGTGGTCTCCAGGGGGAGTGTTTCCCCTCGTGTCTGTCTGAGATGTGCAGGTGTGTGCACCTACCCTGGCAGGTGTACGTGAGACCGAGTTGGCCCTTCCAGCTTGCTGATGACTGTTAACCCCCCAAGTAACAGGCCTTTGAAAGTCAGAGGCAACAAGCATGTATTTGTGATCAATAAGAACAGCGATTCTGGAAACACTGATTCAGGCAGGAGCCCAAATAATGTTCTGATTAGGAGTCAAAGGTGATGGGTATTTAGGAGAAGTGGAAGGGAAACAGCTCCATCCACCGCAGGAGGCATTGCTGTTGGTGCAGAGAATGCAACAGTGACTGATTCTAAACAATGTTTCTAATTTTCAGCCCGGGAGTCATCAGATCTCTTTCTTGTGATCCTTGCAAACAGTTCTTTAGGAAACAATGTTGCTTTAGGCCCGGTGCAGAGGTTGCTTTGCCCGGTTTGAACATCCATGTTGAGGAGTGAGACGAGCCAGGCAGTTCCTCTGGGATGGCAGCTCCGGCTCCGTTCATATTGTTGGCACGAGTTCACTCTTGTTTTTTGGAGATGCCAGTTGGGTGCTGGGGTTTATAGACTCATGTCCCTCGGCCTGTCTCCCGTCACCTCCTGTGAACAGCCCTAACATCTCTAGATGGAAGTCACTGCCAGCTGCAGCCGTGTCTGTAAACCCCCTTGAGGGCATGTGTTTGAGGCTGTGACAGTCACCTGAAGGCTGCAGCCCTCCACGCCCGCTGTCTCCTCCCGCTGCTCCCCACCCCGCCCCCGGTCCCTGCCCAGGTGGACCCCGTCTCTCCTCTCCTTGTCTGCAGCTCATCCCGCGGCTGCCCTGCCCTCAATGCCTGGTCTCTGGCAGGAGCCCCACGACCACGGCCTGCGGCTCACGGGCGGGCACTGTGCTTGTCTTGTGCTGCGTGATTGTGAGCCGCGGGCCGTCCTGTCTGGGGCATATTTCTGGGCATATAACCCAGGAGCGCTGGCCCTGGCACCTGCCATTTCCACAGCGACCGGGACAGACGTGTGGAGCAGAGGCCGGGCTGTGGCTCTTTCCCGGGACCCGGGGGCCCCTCCCACCGGCTGTCCTCTCCCTTTCAGCTCTGCGCCAACGCCCTGCTCTTCCTGAGCGTGAACATGTACGGCGTGTTCGTGAGGGTCCTGGCCGAGCGCTCCCAGCGGAGGGCCTTCCTGCAGGCGCGGACCTGCATCGAGGACCGGCTGCGGCTCGAGGACGAAAATGAGAAGCAGGTGGGTGTCTGGCCGAGGGCCGTCCCTCCGGCTTTGCTTCTCCCTGGGTGACAGTGTTTCATGTTTCCAAACCTGTGGCTCGTTTTCCTCGGTGGTCGCCCCGTGGCTTCACAGCGGCACCGTTCGGGAAGGAGATGGGGTGCGTGGGCCGGTCGTTTCCCCTGATGTCACGGCCCATCCTGAGCGAGGGCCATTGGCGTCGGGACCTGCCGGACTCCCCCACTGACGGAGGGGCAGCCTGCGGGTCAGTCACGGGGACAGCTGCTTCCCTGGGCAGCCTTGTCCCTTGTCGCCGGCACTCAGGTCCCCCCCTTGCCTCGCGGGCCCAGGGAGCCCTGCCTCTCTGGGATGGTGGAGGGGGGCACTCAGGCTTGGATGGGGCTGGGCTGCCTCTCGGGCTCTTAGGCACCGGCAGGCACGGCTGAGGCTCCCCGGGGGCCACCTGGAAGGTCCAGGGTAGCCTGGAGGTGGCCGAGGCAGCTCTGTACAGCCCTGCACTGTGTCAGTGTGAAAACCGCAGCCCCTGAGTTACAGGTGAGGGGTGCTCTGACCGTGTGGGGGTCGTCAGGATCTGTCTTCATGTTTCAGCTCATTCACACAACAGTTCGATCAGTAGCCCCTGTTGGAGTCTTTTCCAGCCTGACCCAGTGAGGGCACCCCAGTCCTGGGTGATGGGAGGGGTCCCGGGGACACACCCAGTTCTGGGAGGGGATGTAGAGGGATGCACCCAGTTCTGGGAGAGGTGCTGGGTAGGGGTGCCCCCGTAGCAGGAGGTGCCGGGCTGGGGCTGTGGGGCTGGGAATGGGGTCCTTGCTCAGTGGAGCTGGGGGAGCAGGAGCGGGAGCAGGAGCTGGGGTGCCTGGGGGGGTGTGCGTGTGGTGAAGTGGAGGCTGTTGACTTGTTGTGGCCCCCATGGAAGGAGCCAGGAGAAGTTGAGAGTGAGTCAGGGCCTCGCACCGTGGGAGGGGTCAGCACAGGGTGAGGTCAGCGTGGAGGTGAGGACTCGCGGGCCGAATTTGCAGGCAGGCAGGTGGACTGGCAGACGCACTAGGAGAGGCCGATGGCTGGTGTGTTGTGTCTACCCGGAGGCGTGGAGGTCGGAGGCTTTGGTGCACGAAGCAAGGGTTTTGCAGGACAGGTCTGTGCTTGTGCCACCAGGGTCTGTGGGAGGGGAAACGAGGGACCCGCTCTGAAATGCAGACACCCAGCGTCGAACCCTGCGTCTGTCCCAGCTGCAGGGACAGGATTCAGCGGCCTTGCCGGGGTCATCCTGAGTGTCTGGGCCGGTCCTGGCTGAGTCTGTGGTGACCCTGGGAGGAAGGTGACGTTTGCTGCGGTGCCAGGAGCACCGCCCCCTCCCCTTTATGGTTTGGATCTAAGAGCCCTGCCGAGGGAGGTCATTTTAAGAGAAAGTTCGAACGCTTTGATGCAAAATCTGAGTTTTGAGTGGTCTGCTGCCCTGCTCCCTTTGGGCGCAGCCAGGCACGGCCTCCCTGAGTCTCAGACAGCACGGCCTCCCCACAGGTGGGAACGTTGGAATAACTGTGTCCTCGGGGTGGCCCACGGACCCAGAGGGGCCGGGGAAGGACGGTCGGGGGCTTGTTGCTCGCTGGACACTTTACCTCCAGAAGGTTCTCCGCCTCAGTCGTCAGAGTCCCGAGGCTGACCCCCTGAGAGGGCCTTGGAGATGCTGAGGTGACCCCTCTTCCTGGCTGTCAGGCTGCAGGACAGGGTCCGGGCAGGACAGAAGGTGTCCGCCTGGGCTCTGGGCTCTGAGCTGACCCAGGCCTGTGCTTCACCCCCGAGTGTGGAGGAACCGGGCTCTGTCCTGTGATCTGAAAAGAGGGCCTGGCTGGGGAGTTTTACTGACCCGGGAAGGAGAGTGGANGGCTCTGAGCTGACCCAGGCCTCTGCTTCACCCCCGAGTGTGGAGGAACCGGGCTCTGTCCTGTGATCTGAAAAGAGGGCCTGGCTGGGGAGTTTTACTGACCCGGGAAGGAGAGTGGAGCGAGTGACAAAGTGGCCGGTGGCAGAGGGGGACCGGGAGGCCGGAGCCCAGGTCCCCAGGCCAGGACTCCTCCCCCTAAAAGGCTCATGCCGGGCTCTGGGCTGAAGGACACCCCGGGGAAGCGTTGCAGAGGCTGTGGAGGCCACTCGCAGTGTCTGAACCGGATGCCACGACCGGCTCTTTGACATAGAAAAGCCTTGGCGCCCTGGATCAAGAAGGAAGAGCCGGCAGATCAAAGCGTCCCGGGGACGGGCGAGGGAGGCCACAGGTAAAGGCGGGTTAAAAATAGATCCCAGGGAGCTACTGGGAGGGACCCGCTGCCAGCGTGCTGGAGAGCTCGGCACAGTGGACCGGTTCCCAGAGCCGTCTCTCCCCGCCGATGCGAGAGGGGAGGAAGGCCTGGCACAGCCTGCGGCGGTTAAAACGCCGACTGGGCCCCGGGAAGCTGGCGGGGAAGGGAGCCCCGGGTCCGGGCTTCGCGGATGAGCCGCCAGGGGAAACGGCCTCGCGCCGGGACCTGCTGGGGCAGAATCGCACAGGATGCAGAGGTTTTTTTTTTGGTTAAGCCTCACCTGAGGGTATTTTTTCCATTGATTTTTAGAGAGACTGGGAGGGAGAGACAGAGAGAGAGAAACACTGATGTGAGAGAGACGTTGACCGGTTGCCTCCTGCACCCAGGCTGACGGAGGTGAGGGGCTGAACCCGCCACCCAGCTTTGTGCCCTGATTGGGAATTAAACCTTTGGCCCTTCCGTCCGTGGGCCGACGCTCTAACTACTGAGCCGCACCGGCCGGGCTGGGATGCAGGTTTGTGGGGTGGCCCTTGCCGCGGTCCGTGTGGTGGTCAGCCGGGCCGCCCTCTGCCAACCCCTCGCCCACTGAAGGACCTGGGTGGGCTCCGCCCTGGGCCCATCGCCACGAAGTCGCTGTGAGCGTTCAGGAGCAGCGTGTGTGCGAACTCGAGTCTTCGTTCCGGGCGTGCGCGTCCGGGCGGGAGCGGGGCTGGGGCTCGTCGAGAAGCTGTGGCCGTTTCCAGGGTGACTCACGTTTCTCATCCCAGCAGATCCCGCCCGTCGGCGTCCGCGTCAGCGTGAGGCAGCCTCGCTGTCTTTGGTTGTAACAGTTCCAACAGGTGTGTGGGGACGTGTCGCTGTGGTTTTAATTTCGTTTCCTCTCCGTTTCTCTTCGGCACGGAGGGGACCTCCCAGGGGCCTGCGGCCTGGGTGCGGAAGGGTTAGTGGTCCCCTCTCTGGAAGCACCTTATCCGGACGAAATTCCCCTCTCCGCCTAATTTCCCGAGGCTTCGTCACAAATGGATGTTGAATTTCACCATTAAAAAAAAAAAAAATCTTTGTTGATTTCAGAGAGAGGAAGGGAGAGGGAGAGAGAGAGAGAAACATCAGTGATGAGAGTCACTGACCGGCAGCCTCCTGCAGGCCCCGCGGGATGGCGCCCGAAACCCTGCGTGGGCCCTGACGGGAATCGAACCTGCATCTCCTGGATCCTGGTTTGATGCTCAGCCACTGAGCCCCGCTGGCCGGGCTTTACCAATTTTTATTTTTTGTTAATCATCACCCGAGGATATTTTCCCGTTGATTTTTAGAGAGAGTGGGAGTTAGGGGGAGAGAGGCATCGATGGGCTGCCTCCCGCACGGGCCCCGACCGGGGCCGGGGTCGAGCCTGAAGCCGAGGCACGTGCCCTTGGCCGGAATCGAACCCGGTCACTTCGGTCCTCGGCTGACGCTCCGACCACTGAGCAGCACCAGGCAGGGCAGCCGGTGCTTTTCTGTGTCAGTTGCTACGTGATTCTCGTTGCCGTCCCCCCGGCGTGTGTGACATCGGCCGGCGTCTCGGTGCCGAGCTGGCTGTGGCCCAGCCGGGCGCCCCCGAGCCCGGTCTTCCTGTGTTGCTGAAACGTGAATCGTGTCAGAGGATTTTACACCTGTGTCCTTCAGGGACGTTGGTCTGGCGTTTTCTCTATTTGCCTGCGTATGATTTTGGTGTCAGATAATGTCGACGTACGGAGAGTTGGGAGGGGTTCCGTGGCCGTTTATGGAAGATTCAGTGTGGAATTAGTGTTAGATCTTTAAGTGCGTGGTACCCACGCCCAGTAAAACCACCCGGCTCGGGACGTCTTTCTTATGGGTTTTAGAATTAAGAATGTCATTTCCGTAATGGATACGGAGCTGCGCGAGTGCTTTACTCAGTGTTTATTTCATATTCGGTGAGTTGTACTTTGTGTTTTTCGAGGAACTGGTGTTTTTCTTCTAAACTGTCAAGTTCGTGTCTGAAGAGCTACCACGAGCCCGGCGGGTGTGGCTCAGGGGTTGGGGGTCGGCCCGTGAACCAGGGGGTCAGGTTTCTTCGCCCCCCGGCCCGGATGCACCCCCCTCAGTAGGATGACCCCCAGATTCCACATGGGATCTAAACTCTGTTCTTTGGTTTTCTTCCCAAAGCGGGCGGAGGGGGGTGGGAGAGGCCGGGGAGCAGTGGGCCCCAGGCTGTGCGGCTGGACGGTCGGGGCGGCAGAGCCGGGTCGGGGGGCCCTGGGAGGGGGAGGGGCGCGGTCTGGGTGAGGAAGCTGAGGCCCAGGAGGGCAGCGGGGTCCCCAGGGTGGTGCTTCCGTGGAGGAGCCCAGTCGTCTGTCCTGTCCTCTTGGGGGAAGAATGTCTGTCTGATCCCCAGAGACCAGGGAGAAACGACCACGTTGTCTCCAGAGCCGCTTATCCCGCGAGAACAGGGGCCGGGTCTGTCTCGGGGACAGGGACCCCCTGGCCCAGCTCGAGGGCCCTCAGTGTCGGCAGTGAGACAGGAACCGGGCGGGGTGGCCCGGGGCCCTTCCTGCGACCGCTGCCTGGAGAAGCCGGGTGCACGGTGGGGGGGCCGGGGACAGGTGGGGGTGCTGTGAGCGGCCGGATGTTCTGGAGGCACCTGCCCCGCGCCCTGGGACCGAGCGACCTGCGCAGTGAC